TATATATATATATATATATATAATAGTCAACATTTGAAGTGGATCATAAAAGTTAATCAAAGTTGTCCTAAGACAAGAATGGATATTGTTTTGGTTTTAGGACAACTTTGATGAAAGGTTTTGAACCACTTCAAATGTTGACTACTGTACATATATACATATACATACATACATACATACATACATGCATACATATACATACATACATATTTCTATAGATAGATAGATACCAGTCAAGTGATTTTGAACAGTAAGATGTATAATGTTTTTTTACAGAAGTCTCTTCTGCTCACCAAGTCTGCATTTATTTGTTCCAAAATACAGCAAAAGCAGTAATATTGTGAAATATTTTTACTATTTAAAATAACTGCTTTCTGTTTGAATATATTTTAAAATGTAATTTATTCCTGTGATTTCAAAGCTATTATAGACATTAATACTTTTATTTAGCAAGGATGCTTTAAATTGACCATGATAAAGAAACTTATAACGTTACAAAAGATTTCTATTATCTTCTGAACTTTCTATTCATCAAAGAAACCTGAAAAAATTCTACTAAGCTGTTTTCAACATAATAATAAATGTTTTTGAGCAGCAAATCAGCATATTAGAATGATCATGTGACACTGAAGACTTGAACAATGATGCTAAAAATTCAGCTTTGAAATCACAGGAATAAATTAAATTTTAAAATATATTCAAATAGAAAGCAGTTATTTTAAATAGAAAATTTTTTCACAATATTACTGTAACGTGGGAGGCGTGACAACGGCATTGAAGATCCAAGTGCAGGCTTTATTACAAGAATGGTCAAAACAAGCAGGGTCAAACAGCAGTAAACAGGTATAATCCAGGGCAGACAAAAGAGTAATCCAATAAAGGAGCAATGGTCAGGACAGGCAGCAAACGATCAGAAAACAAGGAACAGTCCAGGGTCAAAACAAGGCAAGGCAACAAGGAACTAGAAACACTGGAGACACAGGAACGCTACAGGCTAACAATACTGAGCAATGAGTGTGAGTAAAACCATGCTTTAACCCTTTAACCCTTTAATCCCTGAGGGCATTTTGCATTTTGAGTGACATACACAAAAATAATGACTCATAACTCAAAGACTGTAGCAAGGAGAGTCAAAAGGTTGGTATCGTTTGATAGGAATCTTTCGGTACTTTCAGTGGAAAAACAATTATTTCATTTGGACATTCTCCTGCTGAGAAATAGCTGATAAAAATGTAAGAAAAATTTGAGTGCTCAAGAGAAATTTTTCATATCCGTCTTATTTGACAGTCAATATCTAAGGTAAGAGGAAAATTACTTTTTGATGATGTTCCCCAGCATGTTCGCTGTATTTTTTTTTCAAATTTTTTGGTGATAGCATAAAGTATCCAAAAGTTACAGTATTTTGTAACAAAACAGGCCTTTTTGTTTAGGTCTTGACTCCCTGAAGGAATTTTCAAAACTGTTGTTTTCTGAGTGCCATACACAAAAATAATGACTCATAACTCCAAGACCGTAGCAAGGAGAGTCAAAAGGGAGATATCGGCTGATAGAAATTTTTTTTTATTTTTATGGGGGAAAAAAATCTTTGCATTTGAATATTCTCATGCTGAGAAATAGGTGATCAAATGTAAGAAAAATTAGTGCGGTCAAGGGAAATTTTTCATATTCTTATTTGACGTTCAATATCTCATGAAAGAAATAAGGTAGGAGAAAATTTAATTTTTTGTGATGTTTCCCAACATGCGTGCTATTTGTGAATTATTTTTTTTGGTGATATCATGAGGTAATCAAAAGTTACAGCATTTGGAACCAAGGTAGCCCTTCTCTTAGCCCTTTACAGTTTTGAAATTGTTGTTTTGAATTTGAAGTAATGCCTCACTCAAGTTTAGTCAAATCCCCCCAAAATTATACTTGTTTTATTCTACTTGATGACACCTTTCAAATGACATATGACACATGACTATCCGAGCTGTATGATGTTTCTGACATATTAGAGTACATGGCACAAAAAACATATTTTGTAAATTATGATTTTTTTTTAAATTATTTATCAGCAAATAACTCGAGTTAATCAAAGTGGCTACATGCATTGTAAAGCTCAGACTCTTAGCTTTCAAATGATATCCATTTTTTGTTGGGCAGTGGTTTGAAAAATATGATTAATGATATTGTAGTGGAGGGGGGGCGTCCCGCCCGCAGTACACTTAGGTTTAGAGGGACTGCTTAGCGCTCCTTAAGAGTTGATCAAAATAATTACATTCTAAGCTTTAAAATGATACCTATTTTGTGTCATTCCATTCAGGGGTTGCTTAGTAATTTTATTTAGAATTTTTTTCGTGCGGGTGGGACACCTCGGGTTTAAAGGGTTAAATAGGGTGAGACTGATGAGCAAACAAGACAGGTGAATGCAATCAGAGATGATGAGTCTGGCAAAGGATTATGGGAAATGTAGTCTGGGATAGAGTGGCAAGAGTCAAAGGTGGAGTGCCCTCTAGTGGAGTTCATAGGCACTAATCGTGACAATTACTGCTTTTGCTGTATTTTGGATCAAATAAATGCAGGCTTGGTGAGCAGAAGAGACTTCTTTCAAAAACATAAAAAAATCTTACTTTTGACTGGTAGTCATTAGGAAAAACAATTTATGTGTGAATAAAAACTATCAACAGCACTAACAGTGTAGACATATTGTGCTGTTTACAATTCCTTTGTAAAAAAAAAAACAGAACTTTCAATTCTGCATAGTTTTGTATTTCAATAAAACAACTCGACTTGTGAATTTATACAGATTTGTCATGCAAAATAATTCTAGATAAGTATATTTCAGTAAAACCTTTGTCTAACTTACCTTGACACGTAAACCTTGACGCCCTGGCAACTATCCATCAAATAAAAGCTTGGTTGTTGATGTGCCTCGCCTCGCCTCGCCAGGCAGCTGCATTGATGGGAGGAGTGAAATAAGGGCAGTGACGGACACTTCTCGTAATCGTTAAAATTTTGCTAATAAATTGGATGTCATTTAAGTTCTGTTGCTTTTATATTAAAATAAATCTAATGAACAGGAAGAGTGGGACGGTTGCAATACTTTTTGCATTTCCTTAAAATTCTCAAAGACTGTATTGGAAAGCCAAAATTTGAATACATTAGAGCCACAACTCACAACTTTCAAACCTGTTTTATGGAGTGAGTACTTGTCTACAGAAAATCTTTTCCGAAAGTCTTTTCAAAGTCATTTATCAGCTGAACAATCAGCATGTTGTTAAACAGCAGTACAATTCAAAGAATCACTGAAGCAGTATACCAGTATATTTGACAAAAGCAGGCAAGGTTTAGAACTGGAATATCCTGAATTAACCACATTTTTGTGCTATGACAGATACTTGAACAAACTCAAGAATGGAGTAACACACTTCACCGAGCATCACTATGGAAGATTCTCAGGCATTATGGGATACCACAGAAATTAGTCAATGTAATCAAATCAATATTAGAACATTTTAAATGCAAAGTCATCCACCAGAACCAGATATCTGAAGCTTGAATGTCTAATTCTGTAAATCAATAAGGGAAAAAATAAGGAGATCCAGTGGACACTCACATTGATGTTGGAAAACAATGCTGACAACACTGGGTTTCTCTCAAGCAGACACCAAGATGTGCAGCAGAAGGTCAAAGTATTTTAGAGATAGACAGCATCATCGGCCTCAAAGTCAACAGCAAAAAGATACTAATGAAAATTAACTCCAGAGTTGAAACAGTGGAGCAGTTTGTCTACCTTAATTGGCAGCACAATTACACTTGATGGTGACAAGAAATAAACAATAGGATCATCAAAGCAAACCAAATGTATGCTATGCTCAAACCCATATGGAGGTCCACCATATTAAATACAAATACCGAAATCAAGATTTCCAAGAGCAAAGTGCTCAACCATACTCTTGTACGGCTCTGAATGTTGGAAGACTATTACTGCCATCGAGAGTAAGCTTGATCTCTTCCAAACCAAATGCCTCCAGTGCTTATTGAAGATCTTTTGGCTCAATACATCACCAGCGGTCATCTCCTGAGCAGAGCAGGGATGCAAAA